GTCAGCTTTGTACCAGGAGACAAGGTGTGGTTGTATAATCCCAGGAAGCCCAAAGGGAAGTCTACTAAGTTGTCTTCTCCGTGGGAAGGCCCATATGACATAGTGGATCGTCTCTCAGACGTGACTTTTCGAATAAAAGGTGGTCGGCGAGGTAAGCCAAAGGTGGTGCATGCCCAGGACATTTCAGTTAGAACAAAATGAACAACAGAACAATCGATGCTGCGGAAGATGTGTCACCTGAAAAAGCCACTGTTGAAGAAGAAACTCTAACCGGTTTTGAGAAGGAAAACAGTGAAGCCGTTAATGAAGTTATTACCACTGATGTGACTGCTACCGATAATGGGACATTTGCTGATGGAGAAGATGAACCCCACGTGAAGCAGAAGCCAATGAGGCCGAGACCAGTACGGAAGAAGATACGTCCTGTAAAAGTAAGAGACTTTGTTGTTTTTTAATCTTGTGTTTGTAAATTCTGTACATTTATTTAAGTTATTGTTAATTATCTATTGGTTAAATGTAAGTGGTTATTGTTCGGGACGAACAATACTAGGAAGGGGCAGTGTTAGGACAGCGGAAGTCACGCGACGCCGAGAGCTTGGGCGCTGGAGTTTCTCGAAGGATTATGAAGGCCCGAGTGCATTCGAGACGCCCACTTATTAGTATATAAGCCTGGCGAGAAAAACCAGCGCGATCGAAGAGACAGATTGGATAGATAGATAGATATAGATACATAATTGAGTCAAGCTAACAGTAGGCACCGTAAGTAAAATGTGTGAATCACTGTGATCTATAGCGCGTGTTATAAAGTTGTTAAGTTTAAAGTGACTGTGGAAATTCTGTGTATTACTAAAAGTTGTATCGAGAAAGAATAAACTGGTTTAATCAAGAAAGGACTTGTATCGCTGAAGTTCCTCGGAAATTAACAAACAAGCAGATACATAACAATATTAACGCTATACTTTTCTTAATCACTTAGTCAAACATCGATATATCTTTGGATTAGTTCATATTGTGAACATATCAGAGAAATGCCTATATAAATTCAGTCAAATACTTCACAGACAAGATATAATCTAGAAGTATTAATTAGGCTATATAGATTATTTACACTTTTCGTGGGTCATCATTAAGTTTAAACATACCAATAATGAATACCGGATTTTCCTTCGTCATCATGTTCTATCTGCCTCCTCTGCTTTTTATCAGTAACCCTGGGGCAATAATTCTTTGAACTCAAACTTTGATATTCAAATATTATCACTGAAAGCTTCTCAAAATGAGATATATATTTCAAACTATAGTACAGTTATCTGTGCTTAGACAATCTTTGTAAAATGACTCATCTAGCTGTGAACTACATGAAATCCTGCCCTTTGATGGCCTCCTGGCCAAGGCTGGTGCAGAAGTGGGGCCGTGCGCAGAATTTAAATTTGACATTAAACACATGCATATTATACATATATAAACCGTATCAACACATTCATCACATGGATAGTAATAAACAGCATGGAAGTTCTTCGGGGCGGGTACCTCTGTATGCACCCTTGTGCAGATGTATCTGCTCCTATATGTGGCCGGTACACTAAATATGTCGCTGTTCCAGGTCGGCCCTTAATTACTTTGTCACTAACTTTTAACATATTGGACAAACATAGATATACAGCTACACAATACACTCTGTTTATACCTTTGTTACGATACCAGGTTATACTTTAGGGTTTAGGTGTTATAGCATTCTTAAGTGTTATATTTAATTCCTACTTACCCTTTTATAAATTGTAATAAAATTGATACTTTTAAACATCAATACGTAGAAAAGACTTTCAAATCTTTGATGAAAATAGATGAGGCAATGGATATTCAAAACTTTAGCTCAGTTAAGAGTAAAGGATTCATAATCACATAGTGTTCGTATTAATTATGTACTGTTACAAACTGCGAGTGTCAAGATATAGGTTTAGGTCTGTAACTACGGGTATTACAATATTGGTGGGAGTAAGTTACAAGAGGTAAGCTTGGGGGAAGTGAAGGAACTGAAATTCAGCTAATTGTTGATTTGTTTTAGATTTATGAACCACTGTTGTTAAGTGAATGTATACTATTTGAACTATTTTCCTTCCTGCATAAATCAACTGATAAAATATTTGGTAGATTTGCACACTTTCACTATTTAAAAACGTATACTTATATTAAAAATGTAAAGGGTACAAACGCCTGCTCATTTTGTATAACTATTACTGAAAGTATTTCTTGATGAAATTTATTCATATGTTTATACAATGCAACAGTAAAAAAGAACCTGAACAACACGTTATGATCACATGGACTAAATGACCAGGTAGAGAATCCTATGGTTTAGGTATGTAACCAATCCTGACTTCTACTGACTGGGCAGAAGGAAGGCTGACAGTCAGTAGATTAGGTCAAGTAGAGAATCCTATGGTTCAGGTATATAACTAATCCTGACTTCTAATGACTGGACAGAAGGAAGGCTGTCAGTCAGCAGATCAGGTCAAGTAGAGAATCCTATGGTTCTGGTATATAACCAATCGTGACTTCGAATGACTGAACAGAAAGAAGGCTGTCAGTCAACAGATCAGGTCAAATAGAGAATCCTATGGTTCTGGTATATAACCAATCCTGACTTCGAATGACTGAACAGAAAGAAGGCCGTCAGTCAACAGTTTAGATCAGGTAGAGAGTGCTATGGTTTAGGTATATAACCAATCCTGACTTCTAATGACTGGACAGAAGGAAGGCTGTCAGTCAGCAGATCAGGTCAAGTAGAGAATCCTATGGTTCTGGTATATAACCAATCGTGACTTCGAATGACTGAACAGAAGGAAGGCTATCAGTAAGCAGATTAGGTCAGGTAGAACATCCTATGATTCAGGTATATAACCAATCCTGACTTCGAATGACTGAACAGAAGGAAGGCTGTTAATCAGCAGATCAGGCTTTGTCCATTTATTTAAACAAAATTACGGATTTGAGTGTCACTTTTATAACATGCCCACAGTTGATAGTATAAATATTGTTAGCAGCATCACTATCAGAACCCTGAGACTTCGATCTGCGGGTTCGACATGCAAACCATTATGCTCTGTCCGAGAAAACACACACACACATACACACTGGCCACCCTATATTACTTCCCAGGAGGGGTAGGGATATGTCAAGTTTGGTTAGCGATTGGTTTAAAACTTTTGGCGTAAAAGGAAGACACATGCAGACAAAACCTCTTTATATAGAGAGAAATGTTAGTTTTTTTTTTATTTTACCGAAAGTCTTGGCAATTCAGCAATCGTTTTAGGCTTAGAAGGGATACGAAAATCATTTTATGATAGACAGTTGGAGTTGAACTGGCGTGTTCAGAACAACGTTTAATACGCTTCAAACTGATTCAAATGCGAGTTTAAATTCTACTTCTTTTGTTTTCCTTCTTGATAAAGTTTTTATTTATAAGCAAAGAAACATCGATGAAATTAAGGTTGTGTATTGAATTTCTTGTTCACACAGGCAGCAAAGTATATTTGAATTTGGGAGAGGGGAGGCACAGACGATAGGGGGTGTTAACTGTGGCTATTGAATTCAAAAGTGAAGTAGTCTCTACTCCTCATTCAAAGGGGCACTTTACTACTGGGTCAAAATTAGTGGTCACGTTCCTCCAGTACCCCTCCCAGGGGTTCCGCCACCTATGCTTCCTAACAGACGCTATTATAACACTCACCTATCGGACAAAATGGGATAATCATGACGAAAACCCACACTCTTAACAAACGTTTTAAAACACTTACTCACCTATCGAACGATAAATTGAACAAAACAGGATAGTCATGACGACAAACCATGTGTTCCACTCGTGCTCATCGGTCACAGTTGAAACTCCAAGGAACATAAAAATGATAGTTTCTGACGTATTCGCTAGCATCTTCATGGCGTACTTTAGCGTAATGTGAGATTTGTAGGATATATTCTCCTCCACATAGTTTTTCATTGTCATCCCACAAAATGTTAGCCTATACAGAAAAATATATTATATATTACGAAACCATAATTATTTCATCAGCTAATCAGGAAAAAAGATGCATAAAAATGATGTTGAAGAAATTGTTGGTTAAAAGCAGACATCCATCATATAGCAACACTACATCGGATGAGGATTAGAGTGAGGGTGAATGCCACCCTGAGAACTGGCCTTTAAGATCAAAGTTATTCAGGTAAATTTTGGGTAACATTGAAATAGCTCTGTGTAAGTCAAAGATTCTCAGCTAAAAAAGACGAAAATAATAGTTGAACCACTAAAAAGACAATGTTACACAGTAAATTAACCTGTAAGCAGGTCACCAGGTGGCCGAAGTAAGTCAATATGCCACGGATTATAGCGGATATGTGCCGATTTTTTTATTAACTTAGCAACAGATTTATAGATAAGTTTCTCCGCAAAGCAACCGGATATTTTTTATTTTCAAATAACTAGTAAAATGTATTGAATATAACAACTCACATGCAGCAAAGTTAAAATATTCTTTAGATTCGGTACTAAACTGGAAATGTGTAATTAATAAATAAAGCAAGGCCGTTAAAAATAATTGCCACTTTTCTAAATGAATGAAACAATATTCTTACAATAGTTAAATATACTGGATTTCATTCATGATTTTTCTTCAACAGTGAAATATTTTTATTTATAGATCTTTTATTATATTTAATAATATTTTATTATATTTCCAAAACACTTTTAGAGAAAGGACCAATAAGAATTGTTGCTAATTTAACGTTAATTTGACCATACAGCCTAAAGTGACAAAAACTGCTGTTAGTTTCTCGTTAGCTTAACCATACATCCTAAAGTGATAAAAACTGTTGTTAGTTTCTCGTTAGCTTAACCATACATCCTAAAGTGACAAAAACTGTTGTTAGTTTCTCGTTAGCTTAACCATACAGCCTAAAGTGACAAAAACTGCTGTAAGCTAACGAGAAACTAAATAGTTTTTGTCACTTTAGGATGTATGGTTGCTTAGTTTCTCGTTAGCTT